AATAAGAGAGCACTAAGTCAGCAGCTGCTCTTCAGGAACTGGTTAATGGTTTGGTTCCAACAAGACAACCCCTGCTGCAGTGGGTGTTGTCCTCTCCAGAGCTGAGGTTTGACAGAGACACCTGAGCAGCACCAGTGAGTTGGATGCTGTCCCAGAAACTGCTGGAAGTGCTTTGTTAAAGTGATATCTTTAGTTTTTCCCCTAGTCAGACAAAGGTTTATAAATGACAAAAATTACTAAAGGTGCAGATTTAAAAAAATATTTTAACAGAAGGTTACAAGAGTAGTCCAGCAAAAGAGCTCATTTACATCAAAAGTGTGATCCAAGACTTTTCCCCATATTCTCTAGCTAATACATACTTTGCTGCAGCTGAGTCTTTCTAGGAGCTCTTCAAGGACAGCAAGACCAGAAAACATCCAAAGGGAGAGCTCCAGCAGGCACCCATGAGAGAGCAGGAGGACTTTGCTGCTGTAAGAGAACTACTAGTCAGCTCAGCTCAGAGGCACGTTCCACTCATGGCAGTGGTGAGCAGCACCCAGCTTCCCCCACAGCCCCAGGAAAAACCCAGCACCACCACTGATCCCACCCTGACCACAACACAAAGGACACAAAGGGGCACAACTCCAAATATATTCACTGCTCTTCTGCCCAGCACTTGATGAAGGTCATGCTTTGCCACTAGCAGTTACGAAAAGCAAATGAGAATGGGATCAATACAGAGAAACTGGTGAAGAAAGAGCTATTCAGCTATCATCTCCACTAATCTGCAAACCCGCCATGCTTCTGTCATCCACAGCTTTTGTCAATACAGGTAAAGCCAAAAGTATCTTTACTTTGCTCTCAGCACAGGATGGTTCCTCACGCTATTTCCAATTTGAAATATTTCTGGAATGCACTAAGTGCGAAGTTGTTCAGCCTCTGCCCAAGACTGAAGGTTTGGCAATTGTGGATCACAAAGCTTTTAATTTAACATATGGTGATATAAATATCAATTAGGCTGGTTGACAAGGGCTACATTAATAAACTGAATCCCAGAAACATTTATTTGTGAAAATACTGCTGCTGCTATTATATATTTCAAGAAGTCAGATTATTTTTCAGTAGTTTTCTCCTACTCTTTTTTTCTATTCCAACATTATTTGAAGATAAGATAATCTATATAAGCAATTAACAAGCCTGAGTACAACTGACCCAAATGGTATCAGATATCAGGCAGGCAAAAGGTTCTTCCCTTATTTCATACAGCAAGCCCTGATTTCTGTCTAGAAACTCTTATTGCAGCATAGCAGGACAATGTACAAAACTGTAATAAAAATGAGAGGACAACCTTCTAGCTAACAGAAAACTTCCTCCATGTCACAGGTCCATGGTGGTACTCTGAACATGAGATTCATCAGCCTCCAATCCTCTCACCTTGTTTCTCCCTTGACTAGTCCTTTGCCTTGAGTCAGTGCCAAGAAATAATCCTTTTCAGCATGCTTTCCCTTAATTATTTTTTGGCTGATGAGCCACCACATCAAGTGACAACCCCAAGCACAAAAAAAATGCCAGCCACCTAAGGAGCCAGGCTCAGGAGCTGGCTTACCACATCCCATTTCTACTCTCCTGAGCCATTTTGTAGCTAAGTGGCTGCTATTTGTTGGTGCTTCCAGTTTTGTGTATGAGTAAGCCCAAGACCAAGAGTACAACTCTTAGAGGAACTTCATTCACACAACTCCAGAGACAACAACCTTACTGAGGATGTCTAGGGGGGAGGCATTCAAATCGGTGGTTATTTGTGCTGCTATGGACAGTAAATTCAGCTCAGTGTATCAATCCTCAAATATTTTCACATTCCCACCACCTCACACACTCAAACCTTCCCGTCACCTTTACATCCCTGCATACTTACAGACACATGAAAAACACAGACAACACTCACCTCTTAAAAACAAAATTTCAAACAAAAAGTTCTAAAAAAAAAAAGGGTATATTTTCTGGTAAAGAATTTAAGGTCATAGCACCAGAACTGAGACACACTATAAATAATTTACTATAAACACATTAGTTCTAGAGAATAAAAAGTTAGCAATCCAGACTGATCATGGCATAAGGCAAGCAAAAAAAAAAAAGTTACAGCACATGTACATTGGTTGTAGTCTTAAAAGGAGAGGTTCTCAATCGAATGAACAAATGGTGATTCAGAATGGAAATAATCCAGTTTCCACTGACTTTCAGAGGAGAACAAACACAGACATAATTTATATTCTGTCAGAGCAGCAGAATGACCCTGCTAACAGCTTGGGGGTTTTTATTTTATTAAATGAAGCAGCTTTACATGTTAAGACTGACATGTGACTCAAATCAGTCAGTTGCCAAGAAAAAAGATAACTGTAGGGTAGAGCAAAAATCAACATGGCACTATCTCTAAATTCACTTATTATTACAATGACATTTTAAAGACAAATCCCAGAATACATATGCAGATTTTATCACATCCATAAGGATACTTTAAACCTGAAATGTTTATGTTTCATAGACAGCATAGCAGCCTGATTAACTTCATTATTAGTGCCTCAAAGAAACTAATTTTTATTTGGAAAACATATTTTCAAAGGTCAGATATGCAATACTCCATTCACACTCCCACATTCGTGCACAGCCAGCACGCCAAATACTTCTTTCTGTAGTTTTCCAGCTTAAGTTAGAACCCATCTTTCTTGAGAGAACCAATCTTGATAATTTACACATAAAGTCGCATCTCAAGAAAACCCACAAGCTCCTCTGAGGACAATGTGACTAGCCACGCTTGACCTACACCTTCCTACAGGAACACTGCTGTAATACTGTACCTGCTGGGAAAGGGTGGACCAGGGGGGTGAGAGGAGAAAGAACTTCACCAAGGATGACAAGAGACACCTTTAGAGACAGGCCCACCATAATTTATAGTCGTCCCACCAGAGCGTCACCACTCCCGAGGAGGAGCCACGTGTGTCTCATACACACCCCACGTGCACATTCAGCCTAAACCCGGCCTTGCTGAAAGGGAGGGAGCTGCAATCAAGGAAAGAGAGGCAGCCAAAACACAGCAACAACAGAGCCAGTACCAACGTCAGCACCAGAGCAACAGGAACTCTTTAAAAATTACAAACTACACAGGCGTGCAGAGTAAAATCTTAACATGAGCTGTCTTGGGCTTTCAGGACAAACCTTTGCTCAGGGAAACGTTCCAACAGTTTTGGTTGTGCAATAACAGCAGTTCCCACTGGAAGGAAGGACACACGAAGTCTCACGTGTCAACAAACCCATGAAGGCACCACTCCCCTCTGCCTCATGTCCCATTCACACCATCCCAACCTTCAGTCTTGCCAATCCATGCTGCCAAGGTAGCTGAGACTCAGCTGCTTAGCTGAGACTAAGCCACCTCTTTTTTGGGGGAATGGGGGTTCTCAAAGAGGAGGAAAGCACCATGTTAGAGAGTTTGAGAAGGTGACAGAAGACCTGGCACACAGGAGTGGTGGTGCTTGTGCAGACCAGTGGGCAGAAGCCCGTGGCTGGGAAGGAAGGGACTGAAGGAAGTAGGAAGAGGGGCCACCATCAGTGGCAACAAACCACTGGGTCTATCAGTGGTGTTCTGTGCAACTTCACTGTTACCGACTTTGCTTTAAACAGCAACTTCAGGATTTGCCAGCCAGAGGCTGGGGAGCTCTTTCTGCCATGTTCCTCTAGATTAAGCTAAGATCCTTGGACCGTCTACCTCCCCTTGCTTCTAGTGTTGGCCCATCTAAGGTTTTAAATATTTGTTTACACTGAAAGCAAAGCACAATTATTAAACAGCATATTTTCTTCTTCCTTAGAAGAGGCTTAGAGAGGCAAATTGCTGTTATTCACTGAACTCAGAGGCAATACATTAAATGCAAGTATTTTATTTAAAAGACTGCACAGCTTGAAATTTAAACCTCAAGCTGCCCAATTTCAACAGAAACATTTTGTGTGTATTGTTTATGATAATAATGGCCTGAGCTCCACTTCAGCAGAACCAGTGCAGTTAAAGGTAATAGAAATACTAAAAAGGTACAAATTTCACATCAGACTCTTTAGGTAATTTACAGTCACTTCAAATACCTCACCAGTTATTTTGTACATAAAGACTCATACTTCAAGAGCCTTTAAAAGGACTACTGATAGCATTAAGCAGACTGTTTAGACTTGAGGATGGGCATTTTTCGCAATCAAGCAACTTTGGAAATTGAAGAAAACACCACACACTGTCCCTGTGTTCATAACTGGAATTCTTTTGGAGTCGCACACAGGGTTAGATACATGGGATTTCAACAAGCATCCAGGAATTTCAAGAGATGCAGAGCTGGTAGTGAGCATTAAACCATCTAACTCGGTAGGCATATAAGCCATTCAATTTCCCCGCATCTACGGTTCACCCGTGGTTCTATAGAAACAATACCATTGTCTGCTAAAAAACTCGGGCAACTGCACGATCCGACACAGAACACAGTCCAGGCACCTTCTGCTCTTTACAGAGAATTCAGCTGCCCCTCTGCCGTCCAGGAAAAAAGACTTTGTGAAGTTACTTGCATAATCAATGCTCCAGCAAGCAAGGACGTAAAGATCAAGTAATTCTTCTTGCTGGCATTTTCAAAGAGAAAGAAAAGTTCTGACTCGAAGTGCTGAAACTGAAATGTCCCACCGCACAAATATTACGGGCGCGTTTCTACTCCACCACCCCCGCCACTTTTAAACATCTAATAGTTACTAAATCAGCAGCAGCACACGGGGACAAAGGCAGAGTCCCCAGTCTCTCGCCCGCGGTGCCGCCCGCTAAAGCGAGCCGGGCTCAGCCGCGCACCAGGCGGGTCCCGCCGGCGCGGGCAGCCCCTGAGGGCGGCGGGCAGGGGATGGCGGCTGAGCCCCGGGCGGGCGAGAAGGGGCAGCGGGGCGGGGGTAGGGGAAACGAGCCGAGGGCGGCGGGAGCCGGCCCGCCCTGCCCCTGTCCCTGTCCCTACCTTGCCGCGGGAGCAGCTGCGCTGAGGCGGCCAGGAGCGCGGCCAGGAGCGCGGCCAGCGCCCGGCCCGCCGCCATCTCCCCGCATGGGCCCGGCGCCGAGGCGGGCACGGGTCCCTCCGGCGCCGCCGCTTCCTGCTCCACCTCGCACCTGGAGGGGCGGGCCGGGCCGGCAGGTGAAATCCCTCCTCTTCCTCCCGCCCGCTCGTCCCGCCCGGGCGCTGCCTCCGGCCCGGCCCCGGCCGGCGGGGTGGAGCCGGCTTGGCGGGACGCCGGGGGTGCGGGTCCTTGTCCGAGGGGTTATTCCTGCCCTAAACGCTTTTCCCTGCCCATTCCCGACATCATTTACACTTACGGAAGGGTCTGAGTTGTCGGTCACCAAGTTCCCCTCTCCCCCTCGGAGGTGTTACCGGGTAAAGGCCCCCTTGTCTGCCAAAGCACCTCTGAGCTTCAATGCTTAAAGGGAGCTTAAAGTTGGGGCCAGACCTTTTTACCCACTTTTGATTTTAAACCACTTTGGCAGATTCAGACTAGATATTAGGAAGAAATGTTTTGTGATGACAGTGGTGAAACACGGGCAGAGGTTGCCCAGAGAACTGGTGGATGCCCCATCCCTGGGAACATTCGCAGACAGATTGGACAAGGCTCAGAGCAAACGGATCTATTTGAAGATGTCTCTGCTCATTGCAAGGGATTTGGACTTGATGGCCTTTAAAAGTCCCTTCCAGTCCAAATTATTCTGTGTTTGGAAGTGCCACGTTTCAGGCAGAAGCAGGTTCCTCCCAGCAAACAGTGGTTTGTATCCTGCTTGTCAAATATTTGGGGACTTTGCAAGGGAAAACTGAGCAGAAACCATCGTGACTTAGTCTGGAGTAGATGTTTGCCCAATGACTAAATACCTTACTAACGTCAGACAGCTCATCTCCTAGTAATCCCACATATGCTCCAAGTAGACTTTGGAGCATCCATTTCTTTGGCAATATCATCACAAAATTCCAGTACATTTATACTAGCCCACAGCAGCACCTGGCTATTATAGAAATGTATGGGAATGTACACAAGAATATTGAGAAATTCAGCCTGTTACAAATTTGAGACTGAGCTTTGGAGATGACTCTTTGCTCTTGCTGGTTTCAGCTGGCAGTCAGGATACTCCGCTCTCCTGGGAGATCTTTATCCCTCTTTTATAAATAAATCTATTTTCCAGTGATCTTCGGCATAGTATGGCTTTTTTACTCATCTTAACAAAGAACAAGCAACTAAAAGAAAATATATCTAGAAAAACACATCAGCCTTTAGAGAAGGATAGTGCTAACAAGAAAGTAATTAAGTGCTTATATGACTGCAGAGAAATTAATGGATAGGAGTTTTACATTCACATGAGGAGGAATAGAGAGATTCTGAGGGGCTCAAATCAGATCTAATGCCACTTCATTAATTTAAGGAGATAGGGGAGGTCTAGAGTTTTTATTTTCTTCCACTACAGAAAGAGGAAAGTGTTTAGTTGATGTTAATTGTGTCGTATCAGATTTCCCATCTTCATAAAGTTCAGTATTTTCCCACAAGGAGTAAATATTATCTCAGCTTCATATTACCTTACTTCTTCTCTCTTTTTTCTCCCAGTATCTAAACATGGAAAAAGCTTAGACTTCCTAAGAAGTTAGACTTCCTAAAATGGATGTGGGTTTACGTCCATTACAAATCTTAATACTACTTTGTCATTTGTAATTCTGATGTAGGAACACAGAACCAGAAACCGCCCACTGTCTGGCCGCTCTTATGTTGTCCTCAGTCTTCCCAGTGGTTTGCCAGAATTTCCAAACAGAAACATCACCATCTAATCCCTTTGTAAGCTCTATTAACATTTGCTGGCCAGGCTAACATCACCTCGGTGAGACAGCTAAGTTCAGTTCCCTCTGATTTGGAGCTGATGTGCTGAGGGACAAGTCTGTATGACTTTCCTGGTGTTATAAGAGAGTAAATGCTCCTCCCCCACAGGGTCCAGACAGCTGCATATAGGAGAGTCACTTCCTAGCAGATTTGGACATCTACTGTTGCATAAACAGTGTACATATCTGGATTGAGATATTTCAAATACTTGGCATGGGAAAGCACACAGAAACAACCACTTCAAGTCGAAAAACATTGACCATCCATACATATAATTTTATGGAGGAAAAAATCACCAACACAAAGTGAAGGCATTTTCCATTGGCTTCATTAAGTCTTGCACAGTTAATCTGCTTCCTTACAGTGGCAGCAGTCCTGGTGGCTGTTGCTGATCAGCAACAGTGAAGGGGTCAGCCTCCATCATACATTTTGTCTAGATATGCCAGGATGTTATAGCAGAGTCTCAGAGGTTGGCAGAGTTGGTTACAGAGTTGTTCCATGTGTGTGGCAAGCTGACCCTAGCTGAATGCTAGATGCCCAAAGCCACTCCATCAGCTGGGCAGGGGAGAGAGAATAGAGTGAAAGACAAAACAGGACTATGAGAAATAGACATGAATCATAAAAACACCTTCCCAATCCCTCCCTCCTTCCCAGGTTCAACTTCACTCCCAATTTTCTCTACCTTCTTTCCCCCTGAGGGGAATGGGGGGATGGGGAGTGGGGAGTGGGGGTTGTAGTTCAGCTCATCACATGTTGTCTCTGCTGCTCCTCATTGTGCTCTTCCCCTGCTCCAGCATGATGTCCCTGCCATGCAAGACAGTTTTCCATAAACTTCAACACGAGTCCCTCCCATCAGGTGCAATTCTCCATGAAGTGCTCCATCATGGGTCCCTTCCAGCCCCTCAGGAACAGACTGCTCTAGTGTGAGTCCCTGCAGGGTTATAACTCCTGCTAGCAAACCTGCTCCAGCATGGGCTCCTCTCTCCATGGGTCCACAGATCCCACCAGGAGTCTGCCCTACCAAGGGTTTCCCATGAGGGTCTCCTTCAGGCACATTCCCCTGCTCCAGTCTGGGTCCCTCGACAGGCTGCAAGTAGGTATCTGCTCCACCATGGACCTCCATGGGCTGGATGGGCACAGCTGCCTCACCATGGTCTGCACCAGGGGAATCTCTGCTCTGGTGCCTGGAGCACCTGCTACCCCTCCTTCTGTACTGCTCTTGGTGACTGCAGGGTTGTTTCTCTCACATATTCTCACTGTTCTCTCCGATGATGTTCTGCAGGTTGTTTTTCTTTTCCTCTTCTTATATATGTTATCCTAGAGGTGCTACCACTGTCACTGAAGGACACAGCCTTGGCCAATGGTGGATCTGTGTTGGAACTGGCTGGCATTGGCTTCTAGCAACTTCTCAGAGAAGCCACCCCTGCTACCAAACCCTTGCCAAACAAATCCAGCACCTCTACCCCAAAACACCCTGACCCTCAGAGTGCAGTTCAAATGGAGATGCATCATCCTATGTGATGGTACCCGAGCATCTAGGAGGTAAGAAATCATGCTCTGAAGGTGAATGCTGATAAATAGGCACCCTGCTAAAATCACTTTTCCCCTCTGCAACAAGTGAGGACATAGGTGAAGAACTGTCACTCTACTGACAAGAGTTGATCTCCTAAGTAAAAAAGTAACTTAATCTATGACCTTAATTTCTTCACCTTTGTTTTGAAGAAAGTAGAAAGAACAAAAATTTGAAGAGTAAGAGACTCTTTTCCTTTCACTTACCTTTTAACCAAACTTTTCCTTTAAATAGTTATCAGCTTTCACTTCAGTGAAAAGCTCTTTTTTTTGAGAAGGTGAACATTCTTGTGAACCTGTCAATTCATCCACGTGTCTATTTTGGCTATTGCAACTGATGAATAATTCCCTAAGTCATTTTATTGAAGACAAACAAATTCTTTGTAATTGTTCCATCTTTAAATTTTTTTTGTTTGTTTCTTTGGTTGTTTGTTTTGTTGCCTAAAACATTTCTGGTTTTTCTCTCTTTTTAGTTCTGCCTCTATATTGGCAGTGATGGGAAAGATCTTGATTTTTATTCCTAATGTAAGACAAATATGAAAGTGTTCATAAGCAAACCTATCCTCTAAGCTGGAGGTGAGCAAGAGCAGCATGTATAATTTTACATTCTTCCTCCCTGCTCTAGAGTAATTTCCCAAAAAAGAACAAGAATCGGCTGGGTCAAATTTGGGGGCTAGACTTACTGGATCAGCTTGACATGGTGTGCAAGTCTATGGATTGAAGCTCCCACGGGTTGAAAAATAATGGCTTCTGCAATCAGTGTGCGCCCACACACAATGAAAGCTCCATCAAGAACATCTAATTTGGCTTTCACCTCTCATTAGCTTAATGCAAAATGCTCTGGTCCAGCTGGAAATGGTGTAGAAAATCATACAGTTTAATCTTAGTTAGCATTATTTATTGTTTTTATGGTATTCTTCTTCTGCAAGTCTTGAAGGGTGTTGTAGCAGACATTTCACGTGGGCCATATACTGCATTTCACTGGTGAGCTTGACTGACTGGCTCGCCACACTTCTGAGGTGTGTTGTACCCACAAAGTATGTTGTAATGTCAACACATTTCTGAGGAAAGGCTGGAATTAATCATCATGGACTTGTGAACTTAACAAGGGAGTCCAGGCAAGAGGAAAAAATGGGATAAAATAAGAAAAAACATGTTAGGGTTAGTAAAAAATATTCTTATGCTTTGTTTATGGGAAATTAACCTTTCTTTTAAGTATGGGAATCATATCCTTTGCCTCCAAATGCCTTATAAATTACACATAGCAAGAAAACATTGAAAAGCTATAAAGGGAAGTGTTACAGTGAGCTCATGGGCACTCTGTGCCCCCTTCCCCGGGACCCTGTAACTCTGATCAAGATAACCCTGGACCCCTCCTTCCTGCCCCAACGGGGTTGGCAGAGAGCCAGGGAAGCCCACCCTGTCCAAAGTCTATATAGACCCCTGACATTTCCTGTTTGTCCTCTTTTGCCCCACTCTCCCCTAGGACATCACAGAATAAAGAGAGCTGAACCAACATATCTCAGGGTAAGAGCCTCTTTTGGAAATCTTTGCCATCTCCTGATATTCCTCCTCTCACAGCCTCAGATCTCTGGGCTAGCAGGATTATTCAGGGGGCT